GGAGAACTTTGAGCACGCTGCAGAGTGCATCAAAAAGAGATCTGACTTGCGGCTGAGCTGATCGATAGACTAATCACCTATCGATTCTTCTCCCCATCACCGAGCGCAATCCCAGACATACCCTGTTCCCGCCGGCTTGATTTGTAGACGGATGAGCTAGCCTGAGCCTTATCAGCTGGAACAACTGACATAGTTGTTCAGACGACCGGACCGTTTTCATCGCAACCACCAGCGACGTAAGTAAAGTTTTACAACCATAAAACTTTCTCGGCCTCTCTATTCACCAGCCCGCCCAACGAACGAGCAATTATTAGATCACCTCGAGTCAGCTCTGGCCATCCGAGACAGTGACCAGGGGGCGGGGCACATGTCAGGGGGTGGGGCTACCCTTGCAGCCCTCGACAGCTTGCCAAAACTTGTTAAGTGGCCCTCCAGCTGAAATAATTGCCCATCCCTCAACTAGGGCAAAATGTGCGATGCTTCTTCATGCAACTCTGTCAATGCATCTTAATTCTAACCTCTGACCCTACTCTTTCTGTTCTTAGCAGCAGCTCTGGATATGGAAATCGCAAAAGGGAGGCAAATTCTAAAGAGATTTCAAGTGAAAGATAACTTACTTCAGCCTGGAGTCTTTGAAGGTGTCTAAGTAGGAAGGATAACTCCATCTAATATTGTTCCCTTTACATCGCAGCTCTATATTTTGTCCTGCAGACAGACTCAAAGTAGCAGCTGGCTTTTGGAAGCGCCCTTTATCCATTACTTGTGTCATTATGGATTGGGACTTTGAAGATGAGTCAGTGGATTCTTTCTCCTTTAATTTGGGGATTTTGGGCTTCACTTTTTTGTTGACAGGTTTAATTTTGTTCTCCCCTGGTTCCTTTGGGCGCTTACCCTTTGCAGACTCTCCACCAACTAGTAAAATGTGAAGAGAAAAAGGTGTATTAGTGATGACTTTCAACAAAGAAAAGCTTACATATTATACATGCTTACCTATAAAGGTTTCTTCTCCACGAGTATCTGAAAGAAGCACAGTCTTAATGTAAATTAGTCTTCCCTCCTGGAAGGCTCATCTTGAACTGTCTTCAGATCAGGAAGCTACAAAAACTTAGGTAGGATGATAAATGTTCGTAACACTGAATTCATTAAACTGTTTAATGTAACCTCCCTCCCACTAAAAAATACAGACTCAATATAAGCTCTATCAATATAAAAGACTAATGGATGCAAAACATCAGAATTCAGTGTAGAAATGGAAAATGAACAGCCCCTTTATTGCAAATAAAAATAATCTAAACCACAACTTTTAGTTGCATCTGTTTTATGCCCTTGCAATTCACACTGTGACTATAACCTTACAATTTATAATACCTGGCCATTTTCTCCTGCACATCTGTATAGTTTTGTAGATATACTGTGACAGAAGGGAGACTGATTAACAAACAACAGGAAATTTATACATCATTGCTGCTTGTATGTGGGTTTTGTTTGACTTTTTAAAACATGTATTGAATACAGTAGTTTAGTTCTATTTATGACATTTATTGTTTCTCCTAACTGAAGTCATTATAAAAATGTTCAGTACGTTTCTGGGTAAGCTTAAATGAGATTAAAAATAATAGGAATTAAATAAAGATGCCCTCAGCCCTGCATTTTCTATTTCAAAATAATAATAATTTTATCATTAATTTTTCCTATTCTCACAAGATTATCTGTTTCTTTATAATAATATTTAATACTTTTCTGCAGCACATTACATACATATATTTCCTAGTCTTAAAATATAAGTGAGAAATATTCAGTCTAAAATTTATGAATTGTTTCGAAGAAGAATGAGGAAACCTTCTGTAGCCTCATTTTGCAAGTAACCCTAGGCTCCTGAAAGATCTGTCAAACCCAGAGGCTTCTGGGAAATCTGCCTGCTGCTTCTGGCAACAACCTTCAGTAATTTGTTTAGACTGTGAAACAACATAAGGAGGTACTAATTGTCAATTATAGGACGACAAGCTTCAGACAATAGTATAACATAAATAGTTATATTGATGAACAGTAGAGCTGAAGTCATCATTATGTATAGACTAACACAAAACAGGATTGTTTGAGGTCTCACTTACTGTTGCTACCCTAGCCACCTCAAATCCACCTGCAGTTCAGGTGTAATACCATCAAATGATCCACACTGTCCCAATAGCAGAAGAGTCTGAAAATGTATTAAATACTTTTTTGATTGGTAATATAATTGATTGTAATTCAGTTGCATCTCTTCTACAGTGGTGTGCTTCACCATAGAAAAAGGACATGGAAGGAACATGATCTGATCCTACAACTTGTCATACACAAAAGGAGACAAAAATACAAGGAGAGTGAATTTTTAGTTCATCTAGAAAAACTTAGATATTCCACAAATGACACACTATGCCACCATTCAAACCCCTGTGACATTTGGATTCCCTCAGTGAGCCTTCTCTCATATCTCTTCCTACTACTAAACTAAACAAGATAAAAAATGAACTCTTTGTATTTTATATACGACTTTCTGGCCCCACATACACAAGGGATTGCCTTCTTCCTTAGGATGCATTGCAATCGCTACAGTCAGCTGATACCAACTGCCAGCAAATACCATCTATGCACTAAGTTCATTTTGTTAAAGTATATGGGAGGGTATTCTCAATAATCACTCCTCATCTCTGACAATCTCTTCCTGTTGTAGTCCATCAGAATCTGTGCCTGGACATCTTCTACAAGCATTGTAAGACCTTTTTAACCTTTGGGGCACTGTCTAGCATAATTGAGCAAACACCCATTATTTGATATTTTTTATCTGTCTTAATCTTGTCTTTATTGTAAGCCCCCCCCACCCAAGGCTCTTCTGAGCTTCTCCCACGGCTTCCCTGGCTGTGCTCGGCATGAGCTGCCCTGAGCAGACTCGGGTGCTGGCACTGACCCCAGCCGGCAGCAGCAGCATGCTGTCATCCCACATGCAGATTGGGGGGCCCGCACCCCCTGGGGGGGCTGCAGGGCTGTGCCAGGCTCCTCCTGGAGGGTGCAGGCCCCCAGATCTGCACGTGGGATGACAGCATGCTGCTGTCCCTCCCCAGAGCACTGGTATTGGATGGGACCTCAGGGACTGATCACAGACACTAGCCAGCTACAGATGTCAACATCAGAGCAGTCCTTCCACCCCTCTTCCTCCCTCTTCTTAGTTTC